TCTTTTCTTTATTGATAGCTTTAAACTCATTTCAAGTCTGTCTAGATATTTTATGGCTGTATATATATATATATATATATATATATATATATATATACATATATATGTGTGTGTGCATACATATATGTATATATATATACATATATGTGTATGTGTGTATATATACATATATGTGTGTGTATACATATATGCGTACATACATATATGTACATATGTGTATATATACATATATGTATGTACATACATATATGTTCATATGTATATATACATATACATATATATGTGTGTATATGTACATGTGTATATATACATATATGTGTGTACATATATGTGTATATACATATGTACACGTATATATACGTGTGTGTGTGTGTGTGTGTGTGTGTGTGTGTGTGTGTACATACAGCTAGTCTGGTGTGGTGGTATAAGCCTTTGATCCCAGATTTGGGAGGCAAGCAATCTCTGTGAGTTTGAAGCCAGCCAGGTCTGCATGGCTAGTTCCAGGTTAGACAGGACTACCTAATGAGACGCTATCTCAAACTAACCAACAAAACATCTATTTACTTTTGAATTGTGGGATTGTGTTGCTCTTTGAATTAATTCTGTGTGTGTGTGCGTGCGTGCGTGCGTGCGTGTGTGTGTGTGTGTGTGTGTGTGTGTGTGTGTGTGTTGCTGGGGGTGGAATCCAGGGCCTATGGCTAGGCAAGTGTTCTATCAATGTATAGCAAGTTTGTTTTATTTTTCTATCTCTTCTTTGTGATTTTCTTAGCTTTTAAAAAAAATCTTTCAAATAAACTAAAATAATTTGGAGGGTTATTTAATCTTCAACAAAACTTCCCCGTTTGCACTTGTTTTGAAGCTTGGTTGAAGGTAAGACGTTTACTCATGAACTGTGGAGGAGGTTTTATCATTTATAGCCTTCAATTTCCCCATCCAAGAATGTTATCTTTAATTATTGATTCATTTCTGTCTTCTATATTTCAAAAGGGTTTTATAATTTTATTTATATACATTGTAGATGTTTTATGCACCCAAGTTATTCCCAAGTGCAATGGTTTATTTCTTTAGAAAGTGTCATCTTCTCGGTCACATTTTTATGGCTTACTCCTGGTGTCTGTTGAAAACATTGGTACACTGAAATCACTTAGCAGTTTGTTAAATGTGCCTGACATAGCATAAGGTGTACCCACCAAGAATGTACGACTTAGGGGTGGTGTGCAGCCAGCACCGCATCGGACTTTAGAAGACTTCACTACACCTGAATCCATTAGTTCCACTTCCCGCTGTCCCCTTGCCTCGTCAAGGGGAAGAGCATGTGTCTTCCCAAGGAGGCTCCATGGGGACGAGCTCCTGGTTTGTTAATGCATTTGCTTTGGGTTTTTTTTTTTCTCCTTTTTTTATTCCTTATCCCAAATTGCCTAACTAATCCCATTGTCCAAGCAGTGTTTCATACATGTAGGATGCTCTAAGCTCCCTGGCATGAGACGGGTCACCACCGCTCCACACTTCCGTCATTAATATCTTATCCAAAACTTGGTATCTAACAATACCAACCTGTTTTCAGTCATTTGCCTTCCTCTGCACACCTCAAGTTAACAGCCACCTTCCTGGAATTTCACACATTAGTCCTCTTTTCTATTTCTCATATATTCAAGTCTACAGTTTTCTCACTGAACTTTTATGTTTGATCTATTATTAAAAGTGGAATATTGGGCTGGGAGTGCAGCTCAGTGGTAGAGTGTTTACTTAGCATGTGTAGAGCCCTAGGTTCAACCCCAAGGGTTGACTAAAAAAAAATTAATGGGTTATCAAAATCCCCTTACAATTACAATATTGCTACTTCTTTCTTAAGTTGTTAATATCTATTTTATAGACTTCAGCTTTCTAATGCTGAGTGCCTCTATGTTTACAGACTGTTACATCCTTTAGGTAAATTGATTCTTTTATTACGATGCAGTGACCTTTGTCTCTTGCGAAAACAATTGAATCCAGATTTGTATTGTCTGATATTAGTGTGGCTGTCCTGTTCTCTTTGGGTTTCTAAGTACAGGGAAAATCTTGTAGTGTCTTAAGCTTTCAGTCCATGTGTGTCCTTCAGGGTAACGTGAGTCTTTTACGGGCAGTGCATTGCTGGATCTGGTATCTCTTGCATTCATTCACTGCCCTACCCTTGGTTAGACACTTTCACTCATTTACACGTTACAGTGACTGCTGCAGGGTAAGGACTTACTGCTGCCATTCGGTTGTTTATCCTGCTTTGTGATTCTTCCACTCCCCCTTTCCTTTCTTACTGCCCTGTGCTCCCTCACCTCCTTTGTAGTCCATGCTTTGTTCTGTTTTCTCTTTATCTTTGTCTGCCTCCTAGAGGACTTTTGAAACTTCCATCTGTGCTTAACAAGAAGCATATATAAGATACCTCATAGTTAAAAGAGCCTGTTTCCAGGCATGGTGGCCATGCCAGCATCCCAGTTCTCAAGAGGCTGAGGTAGGGAGATCTTAAGTTCTAGGCCAACCTATGCTACCTGGAAAACTCTGTTTCAAAAAGCTAAGGGATGGGGGAGGTGCGGGCGGGGGGGGGGGAGAGGGAGGGACAATTTTAAACTAATAGTAACTTAATTTCAATGACATACAACCCTGCACACTTCAATATTTTCATTCATCCAATATTTTATACTGTTGGTGTCACACTTTCTATCTTTTAAAATTGTTTCATCACCTACTTATTGTAGCTATAGTTACTTTTAGTATTTGTGTCTGAACACTACAGACATGTACCAGGGACACAGATAAAGCTGCGTTCTGCTAGACACTGGAGATTCAGAGGTACCCCTGGATCATGGCTTTTGTGGGGCTGAAGCTGGGCTACTGTGCTTCCCTGGAATAGGAAACTGCACAAATGCCTGTAGGCTTATATTAGGAGGCCTGTGTGAGCATGTCTCCTGATGTGTCTCTGGATGGGCAGGGCTGCTTCTGAACTGGGGCTGGGATGAGATGGAAATTGCTTACAGGGCTACTCATGCAATGAGATGTGAATCAGTAGAGCATCCTCTGAAGGCATGAATACACATACTTCCCTGAAGGTCCCTGGGTAGGCTGCCACTGTTAAATGACAGCCAGGGTTGTTCCAGGGAATTTCACGATTTGCTATGTAGCTAAAAACAATGATTCAAGGACATGGACTAGTATGATTCCTATTTAGTTCCTGGGAAGTGAAACTGCTCTCAAATCACAGCTGAGATGGGCATTAGGTGGATTTCAAGACCAGTTCAGGGTCTGCAACCCTCACAGGCCAGTGGTCCTGTTACCTACCAGAAACATGAGTGGGCATGCTTCCTCTTGGATTTCTCAGCAGCTGGTGTTGGTGGTGGGTCCAAAACCAAAAGTTTATAACTAAGTCCACAGTACAATGAGTCTATTTATGACTCTGTTGTCAAACTGTTATTGTTGAACCTGCCACTTGGTACAGACCTCCCAAAAAAGCTCTCTTTGGGGTTACCCTTCTAGCTGGGTAGACACTTAACTTGACAAATGGCTAACAAATTCTTGTGGCTGTGGGAAACCTCCTAATCAGTCATCTCCCTCTTCTTCACTCTTATTTGTAGGGAAATAAAATTAGAACAATGCACCACGCTTTGTATTTTATCAGATAATGTGGTACTGCATTGCTTTATTGTGTATTTTCATTTAGAGTTATTTACAAAGAAATGTAGGGAAATTACAAAAATAAAATAGGTTTACAAGACAAGAAATCAAATTAAAATAAAGCAATTTCTGATCAGATAATGTTCTCTCTACCTTCCAGAAATTCTTCGAAATAGAAGCAGAAAAAGCTGCACTACAGGATGCAACAAACATCAAAATGAATGTTTTAGCAAGAAAACTGAAGGAGAAAGAAGAAATTCTTAAGGGTTTGAGGGATGAACTAGAACAATATGAAGAGATTGGACTTAGCAAGAGTGTAAGTTTCATTCACTTTTATAATTAATTAATTATAGTTAATATTAAATCATGTAAATAGGATTGTAGAGAGCAATAATCCTGGGTTAAAAATGAATAGAACTGGGCTGAGGAGATGACCAAAGTAGAAGCATGAGGACCTGAGTTCAGGACCCAGGACCCACATAAAAGCTGGGCATGGTGGCATGTACCTATAACCATGGCATTGTGAGCAGGAGCTGAGACAAGGGGATCCCTAGGACTTACTGGCCAAACTGTATAGACAAATCTGTGGCCCCCAGGCTCAGTGAGAGATTCTGTTTCAAAAATAAGGTAGAGAGTAAATGAGGAAGACCCCTGATGTTACCTCCTGGCTTTGGTTTCCACAACAAGTGTGCACAGGCACACAAACCCACACACCCCCATTAAGATGTAAACACATGTACATACACATACCCACTCAAAAAGAAAGAATGAAAGAATTGATTGTGTGTGTCTTGTTAATCTCTCCACAATATGAACCAGTCCATCACTTTGCTATTCTGACACATTCTAGAAAATCCATAGTAATTATAAAGAGGAGCACTTTAACTGTCCTTAAATTTTAATTTATAATGGAAATGAAATAACCCATTTGCCAGTGCCAAGAAAAATTCCATTCTAGAGAATAACACCATGAGTTTTTGTTGTAATTTCTAAGACTTCCATTCTCTTTGTAGTCAAGATACCTGAAAAGAGACAAAGCCAATCTCCCCAAGTCAGAGGCTTCCAACAAGCCAACTGGGATTGAACAGAATTGAGGCAGGATAGAAAGATGGGAAATGATGGGGATGTGGGAAGGACAAGGAGCCTTTATCTCTGGCATTGGGTGGAAGCTTCTTGCTAGCTAAGAATCAAGAGTTCTAGCACAAGTTAGTAATATTTGTTATAAAGGTTACCAATAATATCTCTTTGATAGAGACACACTTTGGGGGCCTGGAGGGATAGCTCAGAAGTTGAGTGTTGGTTGCTCTTCCAGAGGACCTATGTTCTGTGCCTAGTACCCATGTTGGGCCATTCACAACCAGTTTTCACTCCAACATCAGGGGACCAGATGCCTCTGGCTTCTTTCTTCTCCTTCTCCTTCTCCTTCTCCTTCTCCTTCTCCTTCTCCTTCTCCTTCTCCTTCTTCTTCTCCTCTTCCTCCTCCTCCCCCACCTCCTCCTCCCCCTCCTCCTCTCCTCCTCCTCCTCCTCCTCTTCTTCTTCTTCTTCTTCTTCTTCTTCTCTCTCTCTCTCTCTCTCTCTCTCTCTCTCTCTCCTTCCTCCCTCCCCCCTCTTTCTTTAAAGAAAGGAGATTGTATTTTCAAGTAAGAATGTTAAAATATCAATAAGCCAGGCATCAGGCCTGTGAGTATCTGACCTTTGTGGTCTTACTCTTCTCTGGGAATCTCACAAACAAGATATCCTAATTTCTGGAGTTTTAAGTTAACAATTGTAATCCTGTTCAATACATCTCAAGAATCACTCTGTGGTCTCATTCACATTCCTTAGCAACCATTTGAAGATAAAGAACCCATAAAGCCATATTTTCAACAACTACATGTGAATGAACTATGACACTTGGGTGTTTCTTACTCTTTCCCTGAATGCTTCCTTCTGTTAAAAAAAAAAAAAAAGGCGAAAAACCCATGCTTAAATGCAGGTTAACTTTTTTTCTCTGAATGAACTCCAGCTCTGCTGCAAATTAGATCGTTCTGGAAATCTTTCCTACGGCCTAGTTCAGGATATGGCTTTACTTTACACGGTGAAAGCTCTGAAGGATACGGGAAGTCTCCAGGACGTTACCCACAATGCTGTGCTATGGTGTCTTTGCCCCATCACAGCTGACAGAACGACTTCTAAATCAAGATGTTTAGAAGGAACATCTCGGATTTTCCGACAAGAAGAGCCAGTCACTGCCTTCCTACTTAGGCCCAGACCAGTGGGGACACAAATGGGAAGAAAGGACAGCAGAGAGAAGAGCTTGAAGTTCTTTCTGTCTGGGAAGAATGTGCTAGAAAGGCAGGTTCCTTCTCATCCCCCGTTGGCAGTCCAAAGCAGGACATGATTTTATCATGACCCTCTAAGAGCAAGAGATGACTGAATTGGAGTTGTAGGACTAAGGATGAATAGGTGAAGCTAAAGGCGCACGTACGCACGCACGCACGCACGCACGCACTGACCACCAATCCAGGTTGAGTCTCCCTTTTCCAAAAATACCTACAACTAGAAAGGTTTCAGATTTCAGATTTTTATTTTGAATTTCAGAGTAGTTGCATTTCAGTCGGCCTGTGAAAAACATTTTACACAGTTTTCTAGGAACAAACTTCCCGAAAAATTCCTGCTGTGTTTTCTCAACTGGAGCTTTCTATTTGAAGTTTCATCATAGACAGCTGCCCCCTCTAGTGGCTCAAAAATCCCCCTGCGATGTCACACAGTGCTAACCTACAACTGGATTTGGAGTACAGCACGTAGGGAAGCAGTTAAGGGGAGGACCAGAAACTGCCTCAGCAGCTAAGAGTGATTGTCACACAAATCTGATGACTGCAGTTCCAACGTCAGAGCTTAAAGAGCGAATCGACTCCATAAAGTTGTCTGCCCTCCACAGGCATGCTGTGGCGCTCTCACCCCACCCTCACCATATATACTCATACACACATTACTAATGAGTAATTATTTAGCAGAAATCTCGAGAGGAATATTTTTGAAAACATGTGAAATAAACCAGCTTTGCTTAGTCTGTACAAGACTTGATTGATTCTACTGATAATCAAATTGCATCAGTAACTTATTTATGTTAATCGTCATGCTGTCTCTCCTGGCTTGGTTCTGAGAGAAATCTCATGAGATTGGCTAGAAAGGGACAAGTTCACTAAACGAGTAGCCTCAATTACACGTGTGGCAGAAAGGGAGGTTTTCAAGTTGAAGAAACCTGAGCTTCCAATGACAATCTTGATGCCAGTTTTCCTAAGAACAACTTCATTCCAGTATTCATTCTGTGAGAAATCAGTGTGACTTAGCTACAGACGTGTGTGGGTTCTGGTTTGCCACGCTGTCTGTTGAGCACTCTCTCTCTGAGAACTGTAGAGAAAGCTACCCCATTCAAGTATGTTTGTGTGCCTGTGTGTACCATTCGTGTGTATGTGCACACTCACGCCTGCCTGTGCACACCATACCTTGACTTTAATTTCTGCTGGCTTTTCATGTTTCCTTCTTACCCCCCAATATGGCCAAGCTGCGCTACCATCATCTACCCACCCTCCACTGACGAACAGATCTGCTTGTTGCTAACAACACGGCGACAGGGCTGTCACTCAAGAACGACTACTCTGTGGGGCTGCGCTGCCCTAGGGTGCCACTTTCCTGGTTGTCACTCATTGGGGAAGCACCTGCTCTTCTATGTGGCTGTCACGAGGCAAGGGCATGCATGCATCAGAATCCTGCTTGTCCCCCTCCTGCCCCCTGCCATCCACAAATTGAGATGTCTGAGTGCCATCCACGGAGTCTGCAGAATTGCAGAGAACTGCTGAGAAGGCACACAGAGAGCTCTGAGGCAGGAACTTCTCAGACCCTGGTTCATATGCGTCACTTGCCGAGAGAGATAGACTGACACGGGCAGTCTGGGCTGGAGCCTGAGATGCCACCTCTCCAACAAGTTCCTCTCCAACTGATGCCTAGGCACTTGGTCAAGAGCACATTGAGAGAAGGAAGGTTCCGCATGGTCCTGCTTTGGGAAGCACTTCTTTCCAGATTCCGCTTAGAGTTCTGAGACCTGCAATCAGATATATTGTGAGCCTTATGCATATTCACAAGAGAAGCTGCATTTATCCCACCGATTAAAGGCCTCATTTTCATGAAATGATAGCAAAACAAGAGCGGGGGAGGTACCTTTATGAATTTAAAATCCCAGGATGGTTGTGGACGACACGCTCTTGGCTTATACTGTGTGCCTTTAAGTACCAGGCTAACTTTCCTCGAATGATCTCCACTTTCCTTAACCTTGCTTTATGAAGGCAGCTTATTTTTAAGGAGATTCATGCTTTAAGCAAGCTGGAGCTAGCAATGTGGGGCAGATGGCCGAAGGAACATCACCACAAAACTTGCCACTTGAGTGGGAGAGAGGACGGCAGCAGCCAGGATGAAGGCTTTGTTCCCTTTGCTAATGAAGTGTCCTCATTGCCCTGGGTGTCTGAATAGTTAATTACTTGCAGTTCCTGCAGCTGACAGATGGTGGGGACCGCGCTAAAGGCTAACCTCTGGATATCGGGGCTGCGGATGAAGGGAGGAAAAGCGCCTCAGAACCTCTTTTCCTGGGTTCCTGCTTGCCCTCACAGAGCCTCAGAAAACATATTAGCTTTCATCTCCGCCTGATTGTTCAAATAGTTCTCAGATGACGAATGATAACAGGTACCCGTGTAATCCTCTATGGATTAAAACGTCCTCTTAGACCATAAATGCATTCTGTAGTAGTCTCAACTTCAGCGATGGGAGACAAAGAAATGCCGAGTCTCCCTTTATTTTTCTGAGAAAAACATGCTGTTTCTTAACTGCTCATTAGACCAGTTAGTGCTCCTTTAGTTCTGCTTGTTAGAGTCCGAGCACACTGGTTGCCTGGTTAGGAGGATGAAGAGTTCAAGACCAAGGGCTTGAGAGATGGCTTGGTGCTTCACCGCACGGGTTACTCTTCCAGAGGACCCAGGTTCAAGTCCCTGCACACACATGGCAGCTCACAACCACCTGTAACTCCAGTTCCAGGGGTCTCACATCCTCTTCTGACCTCCAATAGCACCAGGTGTACATGTGGCGCACACATATGTGCAGGCAAAATACTCATACACGTAAGTAAGTAAGTGAGTAAATCTCACAGGGATAGCCAGGCTGGGCTATATAATGCTAGCCTGTCTCAATGACAATAAATAAAATTAGAAATTAATTATGCTGGGATAATTTAAATAGAATGAAGAGTCAAAAGCTCAAAGATTTATACCCAAGCTTAGTATAAAACTCAACAACATATTCAAATGATATTAAATCCAATATATATGATTATAATCCCATCAGTAAGCCACTAATTTTAAAGGGTTTTATTAATATACTACAAAAAATTTCAATACTTGTTTTTCTTTTAAAACATTATAATCACAGAGAGAAACATTTTAATAATTTACTCTCTGGTCTCTCAAAAGCTAAGTCAGGGTACAGTTCAGAAGGAAATTGGTGCATTGGAAAGATCACTTTGTTTTTGAGTGTCTGTTTATTCTTATTTATTTGCAATCATGGAATTACTGTAAAAGGAACAACTCATAATTCAGCTAAGATTACTTTGAAGTTCAAAAGTTATTTTCAAGTCCATGGGAATTTCAAAGCAAGACATGTAGAATTGTTTTCCTATTTTAGCATAATAATACAACCCTTATTTTGAAATTGCATGATCCGTGATGGAGTATAAAATTCTGCACCAGCCTCCCTGGTCCATGACATCTTAATTTTTTTAAGTGTGTCCATAAAATGTAGACAACCATAGGCGAGTATATTCAGATGTTTTCAATAGCTTTGAAACAGACAAGAGGAAGAAGAAGAAAAAAAAGAGTAGCCTTCCCAGATAAACTTCTGTGGCATAGGAAAAAGCCTCCGTCATAATGGACATGGCAAGATTTAAACAAAAGACACACATAATAAAAATGTAAATGAGTTTGCTTTACTAAAACTATAACTTTAAAGTCTTTTGTTGTAAGTTATCCTGAAACCTTCTTACAAGGTAATCACTTTGCATAGAGATTTAAACCCTAGCCTTCAATAGCGTTGACTGCCTGCACAGCTCCCCGTGACAGGCATGCAAAGCCACGTTAATGTTCAGAATATGAATTGCCTCTGGGTGGCTCCTCCACCCAGCAGAAGACCAACTGTGTGGCTATCTGTGCGCCTGATGGGCTCCATGCGGCTCCCAGCCTGCACACATCACCCCTTTGACATGTGATGGGCTCCTCGCGACACTGGCAATGCTGACACTGAGAAACGCCACAAAGGCAACAAGCCCCCCTCCTTAGCCTTGCACTTTGCCACCCCCTGGCGCTGCCCGTCCACGGTCTCCCCAGCCTGCCTAGTTACAGGGGACAGCGCTTCAGATACTCACAAGTGTGGGTGGAGGGGCCCCAGCTGCCTCCCTGGACACAGCCTCCATAATGAATTGACCTGAATGAGGAGGGCACACAAACAGTATGATATGCATTATTCCTGTCAATAAAATGTCCCCATGTGCGGGGGTCTTTGTACAGAATGTACTGCGGCCTTTCTTCCAGCCAGTCCTATTTAGTCCCCTTGCTTTTTGCTATTCATAAGTGTGTAATAGAATTCAGAAAATTATATGATAGCGCCTCTGTATCTGCATTGTCCTGGAGTTGCATGTGGAATTCCCTATCTTCGCAGGAAACTTTTGCCGGGGAGACGGGCTCTCCAAAGACATTCTCAGAAAAGGAAATGATGGAATACAAGATGGAGAATGAGAGGCTGCAGCAAGTGATCGCAGTCTTGGAAGAGGAAGCACAAATGAACCTGAAAGAAAACTCAATGTTAGGTAACGCTGCTAACCCTTTCCTTGTGAACATAAAAGAAAACGCGATCTTAGCTCATGCTCCTAACCCCTTCCTTGTGAAGCGTGGGACGTGTCCTAAAATTCAGTACTCCTTGGCTTTTCCTCCTGTATGTGTTTAGTTATTTACACCTAAAAGAAATCAGTTTGATAGGTGTCTTTGTGTTTCTTTTAAGATAGCTTTTCTTGCTTGAAACATAGGATTTATCTGTATTGTGCTACAGAGCTAGGCCAGGTGAACTCAGAGTGTTTGTTTCTAAACAAAACAAAACAAACAAAAATACACTTTAGTCTTAGCAAAAAAAAAAAAAAAGAGGGGGGCTAATCAGTTGATTCTCCTTCACTTAGAAGTGCTGTTGACAGACACGTGCTGATTTTCTTAAACTATAACAGAACAGACATACGGGAACATGACGGGATATGCTTGTGGAAAAGCAGGCTTTCAGAGCAAAATGCTGAGACTCACTCGCACTCAATTTTGATCCAAATTTTTTTTTTTTTTTTTTTTTTTTTTGGTTTTTCGAGACAGGGTTTCTCTGTGTAGCTTTGCGCCTTTCCTGGGACTCACTTGGTAGTCCAGGCTGGACTCGAACTCACAGAGATCCACCTGGCTCTGCCTCCCGAGTGCTGGGATTAAAGGCGTGTGCCATGATCCAAATTTTAAATGCAAATTTTCCTTTTGACACTTCAGATCCCCTTTTGTTCAGACCATACGCGTTGATAAAAACTGCATGTTTATCACCAGAAGCACACTGCTTTCGAGCACCTTTAAATGTTAACTGTCGCTGCTGTATTAGTGTGTTTAATATGATGCTCTGGTGATCTACAGTATGAAAGCAGAGCAAAGATTTAGAATGTGGGTGTGAGCATCAGTGAAATGAGTTGTAGCACAGGGTCCTTTGAGTGCAGGATGATGCCATGCCACTGTGACTCCATTTCTCTTCTGATGCGGCATGACAATGCTTTCCCAGGTTGGGGTCTTTCTTGGCAAATCATAAAGTGCCACCTGCTAAAGCACTTAGTATTGGCTGTAACTAACAGCAAAAAAATGTCTACTGCTACTATTGATGAAAAGCATCTAGCCCTCAGCCACACTGGGATCTTGAACTTACTTCTTACTCCTTATCCAACCGGCCAACCTAACAGCAGGAAGAAGGCTGTGAATGTCAAGGGCATTTGTGAAGGTCACAATTCTGCTAGGACTTTGTGAACACCATGCCCGCCGCTGCCTCTACAGCCTGCCCCAAAGCAGGCAGTTTGAATACAGGGGCATATGTGCGTAATTTCATGGTCAGCCTCTCTCTCCTTTTGTTTACAGAGGATGAAATTATGAATCTGAAAGAGATGGCAGACCAGGATCAGCGAACTATTCAAAAGGTACAAACATCTTTTACGTTGATAAATGACTCTTTTTAAATTGAAATATCAGCACCATTGGGGAAATGACATCGTGTCCAGGGTGTCTTCAAATGTAAAGAAAGTTGGCTTATACATTTCCCCATTATGTCATTTTAGCAACATATATCCTTCTTATCTGGAATAAAGTAGCTAGTAATAAATAAGAATTCTAACTGAAAAACCCACTGGAATATTGATAATCGCTTATTTAACGGAGATCTATCAGCATATATATCTTGTTGGTTGTAAGGAACTGACAAGTTATATATCACTGAGAGTTTCCAACCTTTGCTTGCAAGCATCTGTTTCTAAGAATGAGACCACACTGCCACATGCTGTTTGCGGGCTGGACGTTGGTTGACACTTCTTTTTTGATTGAGAATGAATTGGCTTATTATGCTAGGTCAGTCTTTATTTAAAGCAAGAAAAATTTCAGTATCATGAAAATCAAGGATCCCAGGTGCATCCTCGCCCCTAGCCCCTGCTGGTGAGCCACCCCGCTTTGAGTCTTCTGAGCAATGCTCCTCCCATGTGCAGTCAGTCAGCCTCCCTGGACTGTGATCCTCAGTGCAGACAGCACACTATCTCAGCTGTGCTGACAGCCGTGCCTGGAACCCTGAAATACACCCCTCCCTGTAGGGATGCATAGAATAAAGATACATTTAGAGTTCATAAAATTTACAGGTGAAAAGGCAGACCCACATCCCTAAACTAGTCCAAGAAATGTGTGTATTTTCCAGTAACTCAACCAACTATGAATTTTTAAGTTAAATTAAGCAAAATTAAAAGCATGGATCTTGGAGCTGGAGAGAAGGCTCAGTGGTTAAGGGCATTGGCTGCATTTCCAGAGACCTGGGTTCTGTTCCCAGGACCCACCCAGCTATAACTCCAGTTGCAGAGGATCTGATGGCCTCTACGTACAGGGCATGCACTTGGTATACAGACATACATGCAAGCAACACAACCATACATATAAAAATAAATATTAAAAAAGAGAGAATATAAATATATATACTTATACACATACATACACACATATCTATGTACACACACACACACACACACACACACACACACACACACAACACTTTGTTCTTCAATTACACAAGTCACATTTCAAAGCATGGTGGTCACATAGACCCAAGTAATTTAGGGTCAGATTCCAACCAGGTCTGACTTTGCAGCACAGGATATTCATGGAGTTTAGATAAAACTAGTTTCAAGATCCATAGTTAACACTGATAGGTCAAGAGTCAGGCCATGTTTTCCTCTGCTGGGTAGATTTCCATGCAATGATTTCATTTTCTTGGCCTTCACCTGGTCTACAGCAGCACTGTAAACCCCACTATTACAAAGTAGCAATGGCATCTGTGGACAGACAGTCCAAGTTCCTCAGGATCGGCTTTGTTAGAGTAAAAATGAAATACCTGGATTCTGGTTTCACTTTGCCTACAAGGGAAGCACGCTATTCATTGAAAAAGCTCCCAGGCCACTCGGCCTCACTCCCTCTGGTGAGAATGAGTTACAGAGGCTTCCTAGTCTATATGGAATATAAGATGTGGTTAGAGCCAAAAGTGTCCATGCAGTCCTCAAGGATGCACACTACGCCCTGTGCGAGCTGAAATCGCTCAGTCACAGGCTGCCTCAGAGTCTCGATTTGCGCTGCCCTGGGCTGCCTCCTGGCCACATGTGACCACGGGACATTTGCAATGTGGCCAATGCAACTGAGGGGATTCATTCTGAACAGTTTTAAATTTAAATGGAAAAAAACCCAATGCTTATTTCAGTGAATGGAAAAAAAACCTTCATGTTTTCAATAATTTAGATAATGAATCTGCCTTCTAATTTGAAAGTTTTCTGAAATCCACATAGATAAGAATTTAGCTCTCCAATTTATAGTATAATTGAAAAAGATATATATATATATATACATGTATTTTTAATTATATAAAACAAGAGATAGTTCCCTTAGAATTCTAATATTTATTAGTCTTCAGAGTGTATATGTAAGGATAGATAAAAATATAGTTTTAATATCATGGTTTACTTTTTAACAAGGCTACTCTAAAATTGAATTTATGTATTTCTGTTTGCCAGCTCTATTTTGGATAGCTATACTACAGCAGCTCTCAACCTTCCTAATGCTGCAACCCTTTAATATAGTTCCTCATATTGTGGTGACCCCTAACCATAAAATTACTTTTATTGCTACTTCATAACTGTAATCTTGTACTGTTATGAATTACAATGTAAACATATGATGTGCAGGATCTCTGATCTGCAGCCCCCTATGAAAGGGTCATTTGGCCTTTCAATATGATCTGCTATAGTACAGCAGATCTCTTTCAGCTCAGTCATCCTCTGACAGTCCTGTGTTTCTCTTTTGCTTTTCCTTCCAATCACTGGAACTTAATACAGACACAAAACGTAGACTCGCTTATTGAGAAGAAAGAATCTAGCTCCCTGGGTTCCTGTTTGGTTTCTGACTTCTCCCTGTGAGCTAGTTCCTGTCCCCCAACTTCTTCCTTCTCCCAGGCTTACTATGTATGTACGAGAGATCATAATGGAGGTGGAAGTGGTTTGCCGACTGGAAGCAGGTCAGACCTTGTTGAACAAGAAAGAACAGATCTTTGAAGTTTGTTCCCAATACCCTTCAGTAAATTAATTCAGTGGTGTTTATTGGGTGTTTTTGAATGTCACACACTCCACTACTGCTAGAAAAATTTTAAATGTGTGGGTGATCCATGGAGAGGGTCTGGAGGGTTCTAGAAAACCTTCACAGACATTCCCATGCTCTTTCTCTTGGAGTCCTCTTGGGAGGGCTGCCTGAACTGTTATTATTTCCCAGAGGACAAGAAGGCTCAGAAGCTGGCGGCCAAGTGTGTTGCTGCGTGGTGTGAAGTGTATTCCAGGACTTTCTGAAATGTGACATGGCTGGCTCATGTAACAGGGACCTGTTGAGATGCCAAAGTGAGAATCCATTGTGCAGCACAAAGAGGAGCCTAGAGCATGGGGAAGAGGCAGACAGAACAAGAACCAGTGGAAAACACAAGCTCAAACGCTTCAGCTAAGGCACAAGTTCCCTTCTTTAATTGGTAGATGCAACCGAAAAAAAGTTGCAAATTGGTCTGAGTTTGGGTACACCGACTTCGCCTTTGCCCAGGATAAGCATCCTACAGTATGGAATTCAGTAGCCTCTGTGTTTTAATTCAAGTGATCCAGCAACAGAGTCTCGAAGCCTGTTCTCCATCCGCTGCCACCTCACAGTCCCTGCTTGAAACTTTATACTAGTGGGTGGCACACCAGGAGGCAGAGGGGACTGTCCAAACGTGATGCCCAGCAAGCTGGGAAGCTGCAGCAAGCGTGCCTGGCGTGGGTGGTAGGAGATCAAAGCTGGCTGAAGGCAAGGCATTGAGCTGCCTCCCAGAAGCCAGACAGAGATGGGCAGGAAAAAAATGAGAGTCCAGAAGGGAATCCTAAGGATGGTCAGAAGCCATTTCTTCAGGGTTAAGTTGTGTGGTTTCACTTGGACTGTACACAGAGGAAGGGGTGGTAAAGGTCAGACACACAGGAAAGGGTCACTCATGCCAAGGGGTTGGATGCCTCCTGAGTCCCTGGAGAAACGGACAGTGTGCTCGCTCGTCTCAGACTTGTGTTTCATCAAAATGAATAGGAAGTGGGGAGAAGGGATCTGAGCCAAGGTGACAAGTCAATACTTGGATAAACAGAAGACAATATAGAGTCTTGAAGAGTGACTCTAGAGACAGCTATCAGATTAGTAAACACAATTAATTGATTGACTTTAACAAAGGTCTAAATTAAGGTTTGAATTTTACCGATATAAACAGAGATTGCTTGAAACCACCTCCCCCCCAAAAAAGTAGAAAACAAAAGCTACATGAGTACAGAGGTAAAATGTGTGATTTTAAGCAGTATTTTCAGCCAATATGAATATAGTTAGAATGCAAATAAATATAACACAAAAATCTGAAGCAAGAGAATTGCCATACAGAAAGTTTAGCAAGTTGTTATAGGGGATAGATTGATTCACTGCATTATATGATGATGTCATATCTGAGGGTAGCCAGGAAAGTTGTAAGTACATTAGCATTGTTTCTGTATATTAGCTTGGCTATATAATATTACCAGAACATAATAATCTGTAGGAAATTAATTTTTCCTTTGATCACATTGGAATCCATTTTTCTCCTATATTAAAATGTGTTTTTAGCACATTCTACTGAGGAAAACATTTTAGGTGTTGTGTTCTTATCTTTAATCAAAATGCCTCATTTCTCTCTATTACAGTTAATGGACAGTAGAGACAGATTGAGATATGAGCTGGATTGTGAAAAACTTGCCATGCAAGATTTGGTAAGATGATTTATATCCCCCCTAAGGAATCTGAATTTGAGACTTTAATAACTTGAATGTGTTAGGTGCTTCACTTGCAACTTTGCTGTGAACAATTTGTTTCTCCTTCATCAAAATCCTAAGTTTACAGATAACTGTAGAGACTTTTAAGTAAGCGTTTGAAGGAAAAATTTGAATGATGGTATGTTAAGCCGGAAGTAAACTCTGGGTAAGAAACAGTATGACCACTTAAAACAGTGTATAAAGTATTTTCATTTTATTCTGGAAATCTGAAAGCAAAATGAAGTCTGAGAGCCCAGGATTTTGAAGAAGTTGCTATTTTTAGTTACAAATTGCAGTAAGTGACAACCAGAAAGGAGCCCAGCTAGATAGTTTGGCATTCTGCGGTGGTCTCATAAGACAACACTGCCTTTTCAAGTTCTTTAAAGGGAACTTTCCAGACGGCTGGTCTTTTATCAGTTGACTCCCCACCCCCAGGCCCTCGCCACCAGCCCCTGGTGCTGTACTGGCTGTCAGCTGATCGCCACTAGTATGTCTTTGTTACAGTAAACTGTGTTTATTATAATAAAAAATAAAACACAGCTTGACTTGAGTCTCCAATGTGCTTGGAAAGAATATGACTCTGTCTGCAGGAGACAAGGTTGCTCCAGGAAAGCCACACCACTTCAGATAGTGAAACATTTGCTTTTTCAAAGCTTGTCACACTTGTGCCAAGTTGTGACTGTCTCCCAACTCTGTTTTGTTACTCCCGGGCACCCTGTGTTTTGGGTTCCTTGTCATAGAAATTAATGCAAAACAATGGTCCTGGATTACAATGAAGCCTTCTATGAAACCAACTTGGGAATGCAGGCAAGGGGGGGAAAAGTTAAGACCCGCTTTTCACAAACACCACGTGTTAGCAAATGAGTTGCTTGGTCCTTTAATTTTAAATACCTGCATATAAAAAGCCTCCCTCCTTGGAGTCCACTTGGTAGATTTCTGGTATTCCCACAGCCTGTCTTCTCTGCTCTTCTAGCGAAGTCCAGGCTCTGCCTCCCAAAGTTAAATATACACGTAGTGATTAAAGGGAAGTGTTTTTATTGGGTGGGAAGTAAATGTGACATTGTTAGTTTGTCAGCCGCAGTTGAGAAGAACTGCAGCCCTCCAGCAGTGAATTTGTGCCTGTACGGGGAGTAGACCCCATGCCCCTTTCTTTTTTAAAAACTGTAAGTGTTCAGCGGGTGCTATTGTATCACCCATAGGGGAACCAATCCCGTTTTATTTTGTTGTTTAGGAGTTTGTTGAGCCCCAAGCTTGTTGCCAAGCAGCAAGAGCCTGCCTAGAAAAAACAAAAAACAAAAAAAAAAGGACAATGCTAGAGTTTTTAGTATGCTTAGAACTAGTTTGGGGGGGTTCGGGTTTTCAGTAGGGGCGTGGTCCTCCGGACCAAGGTTGCCATGTTGGACTTGCTTCCCTCCATCTCCCCTAGGCACTGACGCAGCATTAGAGGGAGGTGACTTTGGGGGTCTCGGGCACTGTTGTTTCATGCTATGTTGTTTGTCCAGACAGAGTGTAGGAGTATGTTGAAAAGGAGTGGAGGAAAGAGGAACTGTCCGTTATTATATAAACATCGAATTTCTCACGGAAGGTCTTCTGTTCTTTGGTTTTCTGTGACTGTTTCCCAAAATATTTTTCTGGCCTATTAAGAGTCTCATGTAAAAAGTCAGTGAGTATTTAAAAAACACCACCACAATAAGCACAGGCGGGCAATCACATGTAATATGTTAGAATTGTCACGAGACCAATATTTGAGAACTCGAAGTAGAAAAGACTCATTTTGGCCCACAGTTTCCGAGGTTCCAGACTGTGGCCCTCGGGGTTCATTGTTCCTAAACCCGTGATGAGGTAGAACATCGGGAGGCAGAAATGGTGGAGCTTCAGATGTCAGGAAGAGGCCAACAGGGGGACCCAGGACAAGATAGGGTCCCTGGGGGCATGCTTCATGTTTTCTCTAGCTAACGTGTCACCTTGAAGTTTCAACTACCTCCTAATAATGCTGGTTACTTATTAATCCCTTAGTATACAAACCCATTGATTAGGTCAGAGTACTCATGACCCAATAGCTTCTCCATGATTGGGTCCATTTTCTACAGACCTACCCTTTAACACACAAGTTTTTTGGAGGGGGGGGCAGGCGTTTCATATCCCTGCAGTAACATATGGAGAAATTGTATCCCTAGAAGGGGCTTGGGGAAAACTCCAGAAATAGTTCTGCACCTTCCTGCAGCTCCTAAGTGAGTGCTTTTTATTCGTCTTAGAGTGTGCAAAGGAGAGGGTTCCCCATCAGAAAAGAACTTGATTGAGCCCCTTCCCTGGCCTGCTACCCACATGCTTCATCTCTCTCTGCCTTCTCGGTGCTGCCTGGAGTCAAGACAGACAGGGAGTGAAGCTTGTGCTCTGGCACCGTTCTGGGGACACAGCCCTAGCAGACTCCTGAGGTCCACTTGCTTCTGTCACTGGGCTCCAGGTGTCCAAATTCCTTTCCATGCATGCTTCAAGTCACCCCAGTCCTGTGTGTGTGATATGGCAGTGTTTGGCCAACCAGATGGGAAACGGATGTTTCCTGTGATCTGAGCAAAAACCTCAGTGATCCCAACATTCTGGGAAGACCAGCAGCAAATGAGCAGGGGGGGGTGAGTGACTGGTCACTGCATGCCAGGCTGCCAAAGGAGTTCTACTCTCACATATTCTCACTGCCCACTTGTCAATCCAGTGTGTCCCCTGCAATCCTAGACGGCTGAAAGTCCTGAGCCCCCTGTGCCATCTAATTATACAGTCAAAAGGACAGAGGGCAAAGCCGATGACAGGAAGAACTCCCTCCATTAATTAGTGTTCACACAGCCTCTAAAAATCTGCACTGTACACTCAGGAGCGCTATGAAAGATTTAAGGTAATTAGCACCGTATTGTCACAAAAATAATTTATGATTTACAGAATTCCAAATGGCTTCAGGGACTCTGAGGATCCTTGGACCATACTTTGATATCTGCTATACTATTTAATCATAAGTTGAAAATATGCCTAGCCAGTTGTGAAGGAAATGTCTGCTCTTTTATGCTTTTGATCTTCTTTTCCTAATTAATTAATAACTAGTAACCTTTCACTAATAACTTTTCCTCAGCACACTGTTGTTAGAATGTTACATTAGTACATCTCTCTCTCTCTCTCTCTCTCTCTCTCTCTCTCTCTCTCTCTCTCCTTGTCATTATTCTTTATTATGTTTTTTGAGGCAGGATCCTGCCATGTAGCTCAGTCGGGCCTGAAACATGTGATCCTCCTGTCTCAGTCTCCCAAGTCAAAGGACCACAGTGTTCCACCACGCCCAGCTGCATTACTATACCTCAATGGACTGTGCTATTAATAGGCTCAGCAGGTAAAGCACTTGCTGTACAAGCATGAGGGCCTGCACTCTACTGGTGACATCTCTTCTCTTCTACTCTCATTGGTGTCATCAGGATGCCTATTCCAGAACGATTCCCACAACAATGGATGCCATTTTTCCTAGAGTGAAGAGGCATCCTGAAGGTTTCCACCTGATGGCCCTTGCTATCCTGAGTCTTTTTGTGCTTGTATCCTGGTACCATGTCCCTTGTATGAGTCTACGCATTGTAATTTAATGTTAATTCCTTGGTTGCTAAATAATTTTCAGAATTAACTCTACTGACGTATAGTACTGAGATCACCATAGGAAAGTTCCATGGCCTCCCAATTTTGCAAACAATTAGTATTTTTGAATTTTGTTTTTGAAGATTTTCTTTTTAACCAGTCTGGTATGTATAATATTTAAGTTTATGATTTTAACCTGTTTCATTGACTATTGGTGAAATCAAATACCTCATGCTATGTCTCATACCTGAACGCCCTCTTTTCACCCCTTCCTGTTAGTGTCTATTAAATAGTATAAGATCACTTTTATGAAGTTGGGTTTTGTTGTTCCCTATGATCAAGGTTCACAATCCTTCCCGTGAGTACCCAGTTTCCTCAGCACAATTTGTTGAAGACGCTATGTCTTCTTCAATGTGTACTTTGGCATCTTTGTCAAAAACTGTGGAGCTGGAGTTTCATGGACTTCAATCCTCTGTTCTACTCCATTGGTTTATATGTCTGCGTTACGCCAGGACCATGCTATTTGTCTCACAATAGCTTTCTAGTATAACTTGAAATCAGATATGGTATTATCTCTAGCATTATTCTTTTACTCAGATTGTTTTTTACTATCTAGAGTCATTTGTGCTTCCATATGAGTTTTTTAATTTGTTTTTTTTTTTTTTTTTGGTTTTTGTTTTGTTTTTTGAGGCAGAGTTTCCCGATGTAACAGTCCTGGCTATTCTGGAACTCACTCTGTAGACCAGGCTGGCCTTGAACTCAGAGATCTGTCTGCCTCTGCTTCCAGAGTGCTAGGACTAAAGGTGTGTGCCCGGCTTCTATATGAATTTTAATATTGGGTTTGTTTTTGTCTATTTCTGTGAAGAATAGAGCTAGAATTTTGATGTATATTACAATAACTCTGTAGATTGCTCTTGGTAGGATGGCGATTTTCACAATGTTAACCCTACCAATCTGGGATAATAGGAAGTCTCTCCATTTTCTACTGTCTTCCCCAATTTCATTTCAAAGTTTTCATTGTAGAAGTCTCTCACTTCTTGGTTCATTTTATTCCAAGGTATTGGGGGAGATGGTGCCATTGTGAATGGGATTGTTTCTTTGATTTCTTTCTCAATATGTTTGCCTTTGACATATAGGATGGCTATTGATTTCTATTATGTTAATTTTGTATCCTGCCACATAATGGCTGATCCCATTCTAACTTTGATGAGAGTCATAAACTGGTTTAAGAAACCAAGAAAACTCAAAGTAGAATATATATAAAGAAACCCAGCCGGGCAGTGGTGGCACACGCCTTTAATCCCAGCAGAGGCAGGCGGATCTCTGAGTTCGAGGCCAGCCTGGGCTACCAAGTG